AGAGTAGTGGTGTTAGGAGGAAGGAACTTTATTGTGAGAAAATTAAATTTGTTCAACAATGCATCTTCCAAGCCTGGAGGATGAGCAGGAGCATTGTCGAGAAGAAGCCGGGCCTTGAGTGGCAAACTTTTCTCCTGCAGATATTTTTGTATTGCAGGGCACACCACATCATTTACCCACTCCATTAAAAAAAATCCTAGTCACCCATGCCTTACTATTAGCTCTCCACATCACACACATTTGGTTTTTCTGCACACTATATTTTTTTGAAAACCCTTGGATTTTCAGGATGATACACAAGCAAGGGTTTAATTTTCAAATCGCCACTCGCATTTCCACACAGCACAAGCGTAAACCTATTTTTCATAGGCTTGTGTCCGGGCAATGATTTCTCCTCCTTGGTAATGTATGTCCTCTTAGACAGTCTTTTTCCAGAACAGTCCTGTCTCATCACAATTAAACACTTGTTGCGGTAGGTATCCCTCAGCCTCTACAAAATCTCAAAATCTGTTTCTCGAGGGTACGGGAAGGTTTTTCGCTCCTTCCCGCATTATTGGAACGTCTGTCGGCTCCTAGTACTTGTCGCCTGTTGGGCAACTACCCCCGTTGCTGTCGCCCGGTTGGGCTACTTGTCGCCCGGTTGGGCTACTTGTCGGCCGTTTGGGCTACTTGTCGCCCGTTTGGGCTACTTGTCGCCCGTTTGGGTTCCCTTTTTTTGGGGCTCTTTGCTTCTTTGGCCGGTTTTATTGTTCCTGCTTCCTCTTTTGGCTCTTTTTCTCGTGCAATAGTCCTGGCTGGCGCCTTCCCGCAGGGAGGGTGTGCGGTTCGGCCAGCGTGTTATGCGCATGCGCCGTGGAGTTTGTTTTGGTCTGGGCGATGGTTCAGTGCTGGGGTTTTGCGCCCTTTTTTGCTACAGTGCTTCGCCTCTCGTTCTTCTCCCTGGCTGCGGTATGTGCCCTTTGCGCCAGGGGTGTCCTGGTTCCCAGTTGTGGGGAGGACACCGCGGTTTTCTGTGTCATGGGTGTGGACCGCCTCCTTCGCCTCTCCCTGTTCTCCTGCGGGTCCGGCTCTGGCGTCTTCACCTGGCGGTGCTCCCAAGTTCTTCTGGGCGCGGTTGAGTCGTGTCAAGTTCGAGCCACCATTCGCCAGGTGAGTTTCTGCGGTCTGGCGTCTTTTGGCCGGGCGCTGGATGCGGCGGTGTTCATATACCTGTCTTTATTTAGGTATAATTTTGTACGACTGAGACCGTTCGCACACCAGTGACTGTCCTTTTATCACCCCTTCCTGTCCCCCTCCTGTGCATGTCCAACCCATGCTACAGTCGTTCAGGGGACCCTCCTTTTTTAATGTTGAGGTGTGGGGGTTGTAGGGTTGGTTCTGTACTCACCTGGTGAGGCTCCTGGCTGTGCTTGCAGGATTTGAGCTCTGGCTCTTGGGTCCCGCCTATCTGGTAGAACTTGCGGGATAGTACCAGTGGAGTGCAGTGGTGCTATTGGCACTTTTGGGGAACACTGTATTACCATCAGTGGTCTGTGCTTGTTACACGACCTACTTGCGAGCATAAGCCTTCTTGCTGGTTCGTCCGTGGACTTCCAGGGCGCACTGGCCTGTTTTCGTATGGCAGTTCCGGCCCGTCCTGGTTGTGGGGGTATGTGGGCCGGTGGACTGCTCCTAGCAGCTGCCTGGTGGGCCATCCTCTGGCCGGTCTGGCCTGACCTTGGGCCGGGCTTGAGGTGTAAAAGAGCTCCCAGTACCTCATCCAGCAGGTATCGAGCGGGGTTTCTCCGCCGTCGGTCGCCTGGTGCAGGTTTCTGGGCCTGCAGGGTTTTGTCGTGTCTCCGTTGGCCCTGTCTGGGGTCTGCCTGCTCCGTTCTCTGCCTTTGCAGAGGGGAGTTGCTATTTACATGTTGCATGTTGCAGTGGTGCCTGTTGCTGCTGCTGCTGCACGTGAGCATTGGTACCGTGTTTCACGGTGGCGTGTCCTTGTTCCTGTGTCCGGTTGTGGAGTGGCGCTTTGCTGCCGTTTTGTGCCTGGGGATTGCGTGGGGTTTTTGTCCCTGCCTGATTGTCCACCCCTGGTTGTTCTCCTGGTTTTTTTTTTTTTTTTTTTTTTTTTTTTTTTTGTGCTTCTGCTCTTTCTTCCTGCCTCTTCTGCAGCAGGTATGTTCTGCGTGTGTTCTTAGGCGTTGGTCAGCCTGTGTCCTGTGATGTGCTTCTTTGTCTCGGTCTGTTGCAGTTGTTCGTGCCCCTTGGTTCGGGTCCTGTTCTGGCGGCGACCCTTCCGCCTTCTTTGGTTTTCCTAGCTTGCCCTGCCGGTTGTTGTTGTTTTATTTTTTTTTTGGGGGGGTTCTTGCGATGTCTCGCGTCGGACCCGTCGTTTCTGAACTCCTGGCGGGCTTGCATGCTTCGGAGTTTTTCTGTTCGGCAGACGTTCCATCTCCTTGTGCCGCCTGGGTTTCGGTGGTCGCGCCCGAGATCTTCTCGCGGCTCCGCCTTTTTCCTGGGCTCGGGGGGGCCTTGTCGGGGCTGCTTATGTTCTGCCTCGTGGTCTCGCCTCCGGTTGGTGGTCGGGTGGCTTCGTGGTAGGTGTCCCACCTGCGTGCTTTCTTGGCGGCAGTTTAAATTCTTCAATAAATCTTTCACCCGCTGGTTTGTCTGAGCTGGCAACCTCCCCATGCCTCACAACACTATAAATACCACTTCTTTTTTTAAATTTTTCAAACCATCCCCTGCTTGCCTTAAAGTCTTTCATACCTGCACTCGTTCCAGGGGTTTTCTTTACAAGGTCTTCGTGCAATACCCTGGCTTTCTCACAAATGATGGCCTCTGAAACGCTATCACCTGCTAACTCCTTGTTGTGTATCCAAATTAATAACAACTTTTCCACGTCCTCAAGTACTGTATTTGTTCTTTGCTTCGTGATTGTTGATACACCCTTTGCCACTTTAGCACTCAAAATGTCCTTTTTCTTCGCAAGTACAGTGCATATCGTTGACGTGGCTTTGTTGCACTGTCTAGCCAGTTCAACAACACGAGTACCATTTTCATGCTTACAAATGATCTCTTGTTTTTCCTCTATGGTCATTTTCACATGTGATTTCTTGCCTTGAACCTTGTCACTGACTTTCTTGGGATCCATGGCGAGATATATAATAACAACTTTTATGATCAAATAGCCAAAACTCCGAAAAGAAACTAAATCCCTGCAAAGAATTCAGGTGGGATAGTCACTGGGCGCGAGTCACTAGTAAATTGAGGCGTGATCGCAGTGCCACCACACGCTAGCTCGGCCGTACGCGTATCAACAAACTCATATCCCGAGGTAAAGTTCGTATCCCGATTCAAATTTTCCGAACAAATCGGGCTTGTAACCCGAAAAGTTTGTAAACCGAGGTACCACTGTATGTCACATACAGTACAATTATTTTTTTTTTTTATAAAGTTTCCCTTGATCAGAGAATGCATTTTAACAATATAAGAAGAAAACAAATTTTGGGGGGAATAATTTGTTCTGCTAACCTGGGGCTTATCATATTTAATAGCAGTACAGAAGAGTGGTTGAGCTACTCAGTTTATCTGATGGCTCTTAATATATAAGTATATTGGAGAGAATATGCAATTAATTTGTGTATTACTGATTTTTAGGGTAGACCTACTGTTTTATTATTTTATTGACCTGGAGCACTTGTATACAGAAGCATAATCTTATGTATATAATGTTTTGACCTAGTGCTTTACCTTTTCAAAAAATAATTTCTGTGGGGAGTCCCGTCGGTTCCCTGAAGCTATCCGAACTTATATGTGCTATATTTGTTTGGGGACATCAGTCACAGAAGTTCTTATGCCTACCAGAAACCAAGAGCCAGAACCTGGTTCCTTCAGAGAGGTGCAGGGAGCAATGGCCTATGAACACTTTACATTAAAGTATGTCATAATTGCCATCAACCAGTGAAGGCCCCAGAAAGGTAGGTGAATCAAAACAGGCCACTGTTTGGTTAACCTGTGCAATCTACATCTCAAAAGATAAAAAAAAAACTAGAAAGAAACCAGACAAGCAACCCTTCATGTGACAGCACTTCCGCTCGTTATTATGGGAGGACCCTTGTGCCCATGACGTTCAGAAGTACCTGTACTGTATGCTGCCCTTGCAGTGGTTTTTGGCAACATGTCTTGCGTAGACATTCTGGCACGAGGTCGAACAGGGTCCTGACCGCCAGGTATCTAGTGAAAGTTCTGGTTTCTTCCTGGCCATGTGTGGCTTTGGGGCACCTGTCTCGGCTGTCTCTCTCTCTTCGTCTTGAGACCTGCTGTATTGCTGCATCCCGGGTAAGTCTCTCCTTTTACTTATCTTAAGGTTACCTTATCAACGGAGTTCCCTACAGAAGGTTACCTTATCAACGGAGTTCCCTACAGAAAGCCATCGTTGAATGTAATGAAACGGCATTTTCTGGGTGAGCCCCGGAGGCTCCCTGACACCCATACTCCCTCCAGTTGACGTTTTTTCATCATTCAAGAACTGGAGTGATGGGCTGCTGGCTTCCCCCCCCCCCCAGAGAGGGGGGGGGAACACTAACAAGTGAAAGTGCTAGTCGCATGAAGGGTTGCTTGTTTGGTTTCTTTCTAGGGAAGTTATTTTGATCTTTTGGGATGTAGATTGCAAAGGTTAACCAGACAGAGGACTGTTTTGATTCGCCTACCTTTCTGGGCCCTTCCTCAGTCAATGGCAATTATGACATACTGTACTTTAAATGTAAAGTGCTCATAGGCCATTGCTCCCTGCACCTCTCTGAGGGGACCAGGTTCTGGCTCGTGGTTTCTGGTAGGCATAAGAACTTCTGTGATTGATGACCCCAAACTAATACAGCCATTTCAGTTTGGATAGCTTCAGAAAGCCTCTGAGGTGCACCCAGAAAATGGCGTTTCATTACAGTCAACACTGGTTTTGTAATTTAACTCAATGTTATTTAATTATCAACTACAACCTGGAATTATTGCTGCAGGGTAATCATCACAAGGGTGAGTGCCGATATCTCTCTTGCCAAACGGAGTCTTCTAAACAACCCCAACAGACGAGCAATTATGGAGCGCTCCAACTCTAGGTCGTCATGTATAGCAGAAGTTCAAGCTGAGATTGAACGAATATTTGAGCTAGCAAGAACTTTACAACTAGTCGTTCTTGATTGTGACACAATAAATCATCCATCACAGCTTGCCAAGACATCTTTAGCCCCTATTCTTGTATATCTCAAGATTTCGTCTCCAAAGGTAGGATTATTTATATGGCATGATTTTATAAACAAAACAAATACATAAACTGAAACAAGTGAGAAGTGTAGTTTGAAATTGTGATAACTCAGATAGTTGTAGAAGATATAAGGGATACGTATAGGCTACAGATAGCTCTCTGCAATCTGTTTTAATTGATTAATTATATAATAATTAGACATTTTGGTCTGAGAACCATAGGTATACTAGATTGTTACTTTTATTTTTCCAAGATAAGCAAAAACCAAAATAATAATTTAAAAAATATAAATAATAATGATGGGTATAATAATATGCACATCATTAACATGTCACTGTAGATGACATGTGCACCGCTCAATCGGTTAATGTATGGGTGAGAAACAGGCAAACCTCCAAAAATCACAGGTTTACAATCTCATAACAGGATATACTCCATAACTATGTGAATTTTATTTTTCAGTTTCCTTGACATTGACTACGAAATTCTTAATATTAACATTAATAAACTTGTAGCATAGTGGCATTAGGACCTTGACCCTTGCTAAATGTGATTGTTCTAACTTATTACATTACTACTTTCTTTTTAACAACACTGCAGACATTTGCTGTATTTGCTGCCCTTTGCAGCACTTTATTTTTCTATACTCCTTGATCTTTACTGAAAGAATTTCCATCTTCCCCTATATACCCCCCCCCCCTGCCCCTCTCTCCTAAAAAATTATTTTTGCACATAGCAAATCATACAAATCATAAATAAACCAAAATTATCATCTTTTTACATGTTTTGGCTATGGTGACTTGAAGTTGTAGAATAATGATGGATGGAGCAGAGTAGGTGGTGGAATTCATTGAATGACAAGTAATTACATACTTCTTAAATTTTTAACCTTTCTGGGAGCGCTCCAAGGTGGCTTCCTGGGGTCACTTTGGACCCACCAGAAAGAGGAGTTTCATTATATTCAATGTTGAGTTTCTGGGGGAACCCCTGGTGGTCCATGAAGCTATCCTAATGAGATTGCTCCATACTGAAAGCCACATTAGTCACAGAAGTTTTGTTTGGTCTACCAGGAACCAGAGCAAGAACCTGGCCCCTCTCCTCTCACAAAGGTGCAGGAAGCAAGTGACATTTCACCACTCCACCAGAAAAAGCATCCAGAAAGCCAGTACAACACTTCAGACAACCAGAGAGTTCACAGAAAACTAAGCCTTGAAACTGCCAAGCAACTGCAAACAGATCAAGGGCTTCACTCGTACTAGCTTCAATCTTATTGGTGCCGATTGCCACCACTAGGCGGCCCAGCCTTAGTCTACAGCCTGCTCTCATGATCAACCAGTTCTGTTGCTGATGTGGTGGCATAAAGTTCTGCCTGTAGTGCTCTGATCCACCAATTGTGGGCAAGCCCCACTGCTTCAAGTGAAGTGTCGGCCATCATTGGAATTTGTCCTGTAGGGGTCTTTTGCTGTTGTGTTGTTCCATATTTTAATGTTAGCTCTACGTGCATGTTTTCTTTCTGGTTGGTATGGGCTTGGCTTTTGTTATATTTTGGGCTGCATGCTTTCATGGTTTTCTTCTCTTGGTACTACTAACACTGTCCTGGCACACTCAGTTATCTTCTCGGGTGTGTTTGGGAGTTCACCCTTGAGGGGCCTGGCCATGGGTGGAGAACCTTGCCTTAGGATACATGAATCTTTGACTCCTCTATTTGGGGCCTTGGTTGGGGAATTTCATTTGGCTGTGCTGGGGTTGCTGGGGTTTGGGTACTTGTTCATGTGGCATGCTGCAGTTGCCATTTATAACCTGATTGTTATGGCTTCATCTGATGACTGTTCTTCTGATTAATGTCCACAGTGCCAGGTTTTCTGTTTGGTTAGCTTCCTTTAAGCCCTTGTATCCCCTCATGAGTCTCTGGTGGTTCGTTATGGATTGTCCCATTGAGGCCGTGCTTACCAAGTGCAAGGTTGAAGGGTGTTCATCATCTTTGCTACCTGACGATTATCATTCTTTCTGCCTCTGACATGCTGCCTGCTGAGTCAGTGATGCCTATGACTCAGAGTCCTGTGAAAATTCTCATTGGGTCTCTGAACTTACTGATTCTGCTTTAAGTCTGGAGGCTTTTCAGGCAACTAGTGCTATGCAAGCTAGGTCTGCTCAGGTGTTCATGGGGTTCATGGCATATTGATGATGCTTGGATGCCCTATGGTGTTCTCTGTGGTTAGCTTTGGGGAGCCACTTAGGGGATATACTTCCCCAGAAATCCAGCACTGAAGAGAATGAAATGATCCCTGGTGACTCCCTGATTCTCTCCCTCCCTCCAAGTTGGTTGGTTTGTCAGTGAGTTGTTTATCAGCATCAGAACTGGCTGGTCAGAGGAGTCAGCTATGGACTGGGGCCAGACCACGTGGTAGTGGCGAATGGTACTAATGAGTATTGCACTAGTTTTGCGATGATTAGTGTTCCTGCATGCACTCGCTGTGCCTATGATCCATTTTCCACTAGAGAAATGCGTTCAAGGATGTGCCATGAATGATACTCCTAGCCTAGCATTCTGGGGTGATATTAGTATATTTCACAGTCAACTGGCGGACAAGAGTTCCACTAAATCTAGGAAATTGTGAAGTGATGAGGATGGGAAATTATGGCCATAAAGACGAGATCTTTCAAAGGAAGACAAAGAGAAGGTGAAACTGAACTCGTTGAAGCTAAATGTTTAGGTGAGAGTAGAAATCCTTTTTTTTGAAAGGTAATTTGGATCAGGAAGTCTGTGAAATGGCACAAAAAAAGAAAACCAACAAAATCATTAGAGAAAGGGGGGAGGGAGTAAAAGGTAAAGGGCGAGGGAATATGTTCTTGAAAATTGTATATTCTAACATGGGGATAGATAAAAAAAATAATGGAGCTAAACAATATACAGTAATACAGCTTAAGATGTCAGATATTGTCACACTAACAGAAATAAAACATGAAGATAATATTTTAACCACTGCACTGCACTTAGTGCTTTAAAACCACTGTGCTGCGCCGAGTTTATTATGAAATTCCCCCGGTGCGCATGAAATCAAGTGTTCCCCAAAAATGCTTTTTTTTTTTTTAAATAATGAATTTCCTTCCCTGAACATGTGTATATAAAAATAAATGTCAAATTCCACTTACTGTGGCTGTGAGGACGGGGACAATTTGCACTGTGACGTCATCAAGGCTAGTCGCCTGTACGTGACTCGCCCAGACGAAGTCACGCGGGCCATTCAAGACCCGCCAGTTGCCTCAATTATGTTTACAAATATTATTTCTATGTATTTTCAATGCTTTCTAATGTTTTTTTTTTATTGTATCAGATGTATACTGTATGTGTGTCCTGACAATGTATATAAAGTATAACGTCCATAATGTTCCATGGAACTGAGATACATGTCACTAAAGTGTCCTCAATAAATGTTTATTGTTGATTTATTACTTGTTCTACATTCACTAATAATACATTATATACAGTTTCACACACTATTTACAAAGTAACACACTGTATTACACTCTTAGTACTTAGAAAATGAGTGATATTCAAAGAAGCAGTCCATGATACACAGAGGGACTTTGCACTCGACGCATATGGTACACACAGATTTTTGCTTCCTTGGTTTACGTTCTGAGTGTGTGAAAACAATGCACTCACGTATGCCTTAGGCCTTAGTTCCTGTAGGTGGTAGGTAGGCAGGCTTGTGAATTACAAAAGCCTCTTTACCAGCCAGTCTGTTGGAAACTAATTGCGCTCTGGTTGGGGCATGATAAACTGTCCTTACGCTATCTTCCTGGCCATACTTGACTAGTAATTGCGACAACAGAGCTTGACTAAACACTCGAATTGATAGATTTTTGCCCGTTTTCTTAAAAAAAATGTTGAAACAGTTGGGCACTGTTACGTCCACAAGATGAAAGAAGAATTTCCTTGTCCACTTTACACTTCTGCGGACACACTCGACGGCACCAACCATCATGTCACATTTATCTACAAGTCTCATATTTATATTGTAGTCAATGATACAATCTGGCTTGAACAATGATCCATCACCTCGATACCTCACTTTGCCACTGTCAAGCATTTCACCAGTGTGAATAGTTAACAGCATACTGACTTTACGTTTGTCTTTCCAACGCACTGCTAATATTTTGTCACATTTTCGAAGTTCACAAATCACCTACACCAATATTATTTAAAAAACTGGCATTTCTTTCCTATGTGTCTTTACAGTGCCACACACTTCCGTGTTATGTTCAAGCAAGAACTTTGTTAGCAAGGGACTTGTATAATAATTGTCAGTATACAGAATGTGCCACTTGTTCAGCAGTGGTTCTATTAATGTCTTCACTACACTGCCAGAAAACCTGAGAGGATCCTCTGCGGGTATGTCTACGTTTGTACCAGAATATAATATCATATCAATCACCATTCCGGTTTCACAGTCGCACAGTACAAAAAATTTGAGGCCAAAACGGTGCCATTTCGATGGGATGTACTGTTTGAAGAGAAGACGTCCCTTGAAAAGAACTAGGGATTCATCAATGACAAAATTCTGTCCAGGTACAAAGTAATCATGAAATTTCCCTCTGAGATCATTGAACACTTTTTGCACTCTCCAAAGTCGATCATTTCTATCAAAATTTTCAAGATTTTCAAAGTGCATGCACTGTAGTAGTATCAGGAACCTGTCTCATGACATGTACTTGTTGAACACAAGTGATGGAACAGCAGCTCTTTGTTTCAATAAACCTGTATGACTTGCTTCTCTGAATGTTTTTGGAGCATACATATTACAAAGAACACATACAGCTCAGCCACAGTGGTGTCCTTCCAACGTATCATACGTGAAGCCTGTATTATTCCACTTTCAATAAGTTGCCCTGCATGTCTCTTGGTTTTGGCAACAAGATGTTGCATGAACTGCTCATCAAAATATGCAAGAAAATATTCCATTTCCGTCATGTCTTCACCTGTGTATGAGAACATGTACAACTTTGGCTTTAGTACTTGTAGGTGGTATGTAGCCAAGCTTGTAAAGTGTAAGGTAGTCTTGAAAAAATTATAGGAAAAGATCAATTTGTAAGGTAGTCTTGAAAAGATTGCTTTGTAAGGTCCCTCACTGGAAGAGATTCAATCAGTCTCGAAGAGTATCAGTCAATCTGGAAGAGATACAGCCATTCTGGAAGAGATTCAGCTATTCTTGAAAATATCTATGGAAAACACCACTATGGAAGCCGCTAACACTTCATCTATGCTACTTGTATCAGATGCATCATCACTCAACCCAAAAAATGATTCATCTATGTATCATCTTTATAAATTGGAGATGGCATAGGTGGGCAAGGGTGGCACTCTGAGTTACAACTGGATATGCTCGCTGTATCTTCTTCATAGTTATTGTATTACTTGCATCCGACCTTTGTGTTAGGTCCTATTGCACCTAGCTTCACCAATATCATGACCCCCTTATGTTCTTCAAACAATATAGTCTGAATTTCACCATCAGAGGACGATCTTTCAACACCATGTCGGACAGGTGTTTGGGAGTCAGAGGTGCGTGTGTCACCCATGGTTGCTCACTCAATACTAACCCAGCCAGCAGCCCAAGGGTATTCTGGGATTTTTTTCCAAGATGGCTGCCTCTCATTGGCGGTCCCAAGAGTTCATTTCGTACACAACCTACCAGGCACACATTTGAATGGGTACGAAATATTCAAAAGGTTTTTTCTCTGTTGGCGCAATTCCCACCGACCGAGTTTTCTCGGTTGGCACAGCACAGTGGTTAAGGTACTTGATGGATGGTGTGAAAATATTTTTAATTTAGCAATATTTTAATATTTTTTAATGTTTTTCACTGTAATTTGAAATATTAATTGTTGAGTTTGGCAATACAGGGGGTACCTCGGTTTTAGAGTTTAATCCGTTCCTGGAGACAGCTCGTAACCCGAAAATTCGTAAACCGAAGCTAATTTCCCCATTAGAAATAATGGGAAATGAATTAATCCGTTCCCGACTACCCAAAAACCTCACTTCAAACTAAATTTTCTACCTAATTCATCAAAATCTACACTACAAAACTATGTTCAAGTTATTACTTACCATTGTTGATGACTGCTGTTGGTGTATGGAAGATGGTGAGGAGATGGAAGATGGTATGGAAGAAGCTTCGGTTTACGAGTTTTCAGATTACGAGCTGTCTCCAGGAACGGATTAAACTCTTAAACTGAGGTACCCCTTTAAATAACTAAATAAATAAATAAATATAATACATTAGATCTTATAACTGTAATATATGATAAAGGGGGGTTGAAAATGACATTATACATGTAATTTTCTTGGAATGGGAAGTATCACTAACATGTTTATACAGGAATGAAGGGTTTTTACATGATCTCACAACTCACTTTATTTTATATAATTTACCCTATTGATGAATTCTGTTTCCAGGTATTACAACGTTTAATAAAATCTCGTGGCAAGTCTCAAAGTCGCAACCTTAACGTTCAAATGGTTGCTGCAGAGAAATTAGCTCAGTGTCCGCCAGAGATGTTTGATGTAATTCTTGATGAAAATCAGGTAAGTTTATAAACGTTAAATAATTTAATAATGTAAGTAATAATAATTATTTATAAAATTAAAAAACCAGCATTGTGATGAAATGCCATTTTTTAGGTAACCCACAGTGACTTTGTGAAACTGTCACCGAGATAGCTTACCTATACTAAGCACATCATTCATAGACTTCCTGTTGAGCGACCGGAAACCAAAGCCAGAACCAGGCCATTTGAAGAGGCACAGGGAGTAAGGGAGTGTTATGATCACCCTCACTGGAAAAACAACCAGAGAGCAGACAAGACAATACAGGCAGCTGCAAAGTAACAATAATAATAATAATAATAATAATAATAATAATAATAATAATAATAATAAAAAAAAAATATTCAAAACAAAAGGATCATTTGAAACATGACATGAAACACCACCTAGTGTAATTACCTAAGTGTAGTTACAGGATGAGGGCTACACTTGTGGTGTCCTGTCATCACAGTACTTGGTTATATGATGCTTTCACACTACAGTACTGATAGTTTTGGCATTCAACTCCTCACTTAACTCCTTCCAACTGTCTGCTACTCTGCAAAAAAGAGCTTTCTAATGTTTTTTGGGCAGCTTTGTTTTCTTAGCTTGAGAACCTTATTAGCTTTGAACCTCTTGTTCTTGAAGATGTAAGTTTCAACAAATCTTCTTTGTCTATTTTGCCAATTTGTTACTATTTTGTATGTAGTAATCATGTCGCCTCTTTTTTTCCCTACTGTTTTTGGTATATTTAACATCTTTATCCTGTCCTCATAGCTCTTAGTTTTCAGTTCTGGAAGCCATTTAGTAGCAGTTCTTTGCACATTCTCCAGTTTGCTGATGTGCTTGATATTTGGCCAACATACAAATGCTGTATATTCAAATTCTGGAATAACAAAGGTTGTGAACAATTTCTTTAGTATTTCACAATCCATGTAGAGTATTTAAGAGATTCTGAAGCTGGAAAGCATAGCATAGGTTATTTGCAAAATAATCTTAAGTTTTCTATCCAGGACCACCCTTAGATCTCATTATTAGAGTTCTTTAATCTGTTCCACCCCCAAAAAACATCAATATGAAATTATATAATGTAATTATAATACATGTAATTATTATAAAGTTTTGTTTTACTGTTTTCAATTGTACTTTACCTTATGAAGAGTCATTGCTGGCTTAAGGGAGATGATGGGGAGGTGGGGGAGGAGGAGAGGAGTTATGGTGTGGAAGGAGAATCCATCTCTGAGTCAGGCAGGCTCTGTTCTTGTGAATTTCACCCCAATGGGACCGGGTTGTGGTTCACTGTCACTCGCTCGTCTTTTCTGTACCTTTCCAAAGAATGTATCTATTGACACTTGCTTTTGTCTTCATTTTAGGATGTCCCTAAAACGAGACAGCAAATTGTCATTAAACAAGTTCACACACCATGCAGTCACTTCTCTATCAGGGTGATGCTTTTCCAAGAATGCATTCACCTATTCAAACATTCCCAACACTCACCTGATATCACTGGAAGAGGCAGCATACTCCCTTACCTCCTCTTTCCCTGATGAGAGCGCTTGTACCTCCTCTTGATTCAGCTCCTTCTGAAGTTCCAGGAGTTCCTCAGTGGTCAGTTCATCACTGTGCTCCTGCACATCAGCAGCATCCACCTCCAGACCCAAAGTTTGCCCCAGAGCAACAATATCATCCACTAGATGCCCTTCTGGGTCGTCCACAGGTGCAGATGTAGGACCGAAACCTTCAAAGTCTCACTCAGGGATACCCTCAGGCCACAGGTTTTGCCATTCAGTGTAGGGTCTTTTTTTAATGTTTCGGCTGTTTTTTCGCAATTTTTGACATGCAGCGTCAGAACTGCAGGGTAGATAGCCAACACGGGGGTCTGGGGCTTCCCCTTCTCCCTTCCCAGGGAGAGGGGGGAATGCGGCGACGTGATGATGTCATGCTCGTTTTCATTTGAGGCGTTCTGTCCACTAGTTCGGCTTTCAGTGGCAATATTTTAACCGGAATAGGGGTTTGTTTTGGGGTGGTTAACTTTCAGGGTGCCTGACCCGGTCTATGGCAGACATAGAATGCTTCCAACCACACAGGGGTTTCTATAGGCATTGCTCCCCGTGCCTCTCTGAGAAGGGCCAGGTTCTGGCTCGTGGTCTCCAGTAGGCCTAGAACTCTATGCTCATCGACTGATGCCAGGGTCTAATACATTCACATCAGCCCGGTTAGCTCCGGGAAGCCTCTGGGTCTCACCCAGAAACTGGTGTTTCATTACATTTAATGCTGGTCTTATGATTATTATTTATTTCTACCCTTCTTTTTATATTTTATGTGCTCACAGAATGTGGGCATCAGTAATTTTATGTACAGTACTCTTGTAAGTTATAAGTAAAGTACCATAATTGCTTAACTTTGATAAATGTTTCATGTTTTTTTCCCCTTTTCACATTTGTGGGTGCATGTAAAGTATATGAAATGTCTAGGCAAGATTCTGCCTGTGCCACCCCTCTCATGGATGGCAAGTATTCAGAGGTAACTAGGTGTCAAAGACAAATATTTAACCGTGATTGAGTAAAACTTTTAAATATATATATATATTGCTATCATTATAAACCCTATGATCCTACCAGGATTTGAACCTGTGAGGCCAAGGATCACCCAACTGCATACAATCATACCACTTCTGGAGTGGTATTTTGATGATGGTGGTGGTGGTGGCCTTTGATGGTGCAGTGTATCAGTACTGTGGTACCCAGTGGGGTGATTCCTGGCCTTCAAGTTCAAATCCTTGTATGATCATAGAGGTTATAATGATTTACAACTTGGAGACCATTCAAGTTTTGTTTTTTATTTTACTATATGTACACTTTGATTCTATAATTTATTTCAGCTTGAAGATGCATGTGAACATATAGCAGAGTATCTTGATGCATATTGGCAAGCAACGCATCCTCCCCTTCCTCCTCCTCAAATTCAGCGACCAATTCCTTCACCTCATACAAGCCCGCGGTCCAATCATGCGCAAGGAAACCTTTTGAGAACTAACACCACACCACCGGGTAAGTAGGCTGAAATAATGTTAGCATTGCAAGATTAGTATTTTTTGTAGGAATTACTACAAGTACAAAATATTATACAATAGTGCATAAGTGAACGACATTTATTTTCTTTAGTGAGGTATCTTCGGCTGAATTTTTTTTAGACCTATTGAAGACGAACTGCCAGCCAAATAATACTTGATAATCTGTTATTAAATAGTTTTTCTAGTACAGTACAGTACAAAAATTTATTACATAGCAGTAAACATAAAACTAAAGTAAAACTTGGTGTGTCTGGATCTTTTAAGGGAGAGGGTCATCAGAGCACAGTACACATATATATATTTGTACAAGTTTATTTATTAAATATTGTTTAGTATATTGGCTTGATAGTGTATATAAGGTACAGTATAATATTAGGTATTGCTGGGTATTTAATGTGTAAGTCCACTACAGGCTCACCATAGGCCGTACTACTTGAAACTTTTTGTTCCGAGTAGCTGAATCTAAAAAACAACAACAGTGGTTTAGAAACAGAAGTACATCAGAGATCCTTTTCATGAACTAATGTAAGGTGGTGGTTCCTTTTCTTCCTTTTTGGGCTCACCCCCTCAGTAGCTTTCCAAGGCATTAAGGCTCTAGCACCACAGACTTCTACATACTGTTAGCCCCATGAACTTGTGCAACCTACCAAAAACCAGCATCAAAATCTAGTTCGCTCATAAAGGCTATGGGAGCACAGGAATCGGAGATCAACCCAAAACTGAAAAAACTACCCAGAAATTCACAAACAATTCAAAATAAACAACTACTCAGTATAGGAAGTTAAAATAAGAAACAAGGCAAATGAAAGTTGGTTGCATCCTGAATTACCAAATCAGTCCAAACCTTTACTACCTTGCTTGGTATGAGCACTGTGCACAAAGTCTTGGAGGGACTGATTAATCATTCTTACAAATAAGTGGCATTTATTTTTCCTGGGTCATTCTGTCCTATGGGGCCATGCTGCATATATATATATATAGTTTCCTACTTATGCTGTAACTCTTGAAGTGCAGTTATCATCTTGTGCTGATTTACAGGGTAGTGCAGTTATCATCATATGTTGTTTTTAAATTAATTATTTACCTGATGACCCAACCCATCCTACTGTTAAGATAGTCTTTTTAGTAACTGGTCCATCATACATATAGTGACATAATGGACAATTAGATAGAAGAATTTGGTTCTATCGCTTTATAGAATCTGGAAAAATATAGCTAAAAAAATATTCCTAGGCCTAGTATAGCACATGTATGTACTATATTAGGCCTCGGATAGTGTGTATTAGGCCTAGAATGGTTAGATTAGGTTAGGTTTTATTAAAATGCAAAACCTTTTCTGGTTTGTCCATATTCAAAAGTACTAAGTCATATTTCGTAATTGTCCATTATGTCAAATACATGTCTATGTATGATGGTCCACATTGTTACTACAAATACTATCAAAACAGGAGGATGGGATGAATGGCCCCTCTCTATTCAGTGGGTAGGTTGAAAGTAACTGAGGTTACATAGTAAACGGTATGCAACATCGGTAGTGACCTTGACAAGGACAGGAAGCCGGCGACAGTGTCAAAGTTCCCCCTTCCCATTTGTTCTGATGATTTTATTCAGCTGGATTTTGAATTTCAACAATGTTTTGGCATTTACAGTTTTAAAAGGTAAGCAGTTGTATGGGTTTATAACCCTATGGATGAAAAAGCATCTCCTGTTTTCTATCCTACACTGTGGCCTGTTGAGCTTGAAACCAATGCTCTTTCTGTGTTACATTTGACCTTTTAAAGAATTGGTTTGGATGAATATTGTCCAAAATGTTCAGTATTTTAAAAGTTTTAATGAGATCAGCCTTGTCATGTCTGGTTTGCAGTGCTAGCCCTGTGGCCCCCAACCGTTCCAGGTAGGAAAGTTGATTTAGCTCTGGGATGAGTTTAGTCATGCAGTATTGAACTTTCTATGCAGCAGATGTGTCTTTCTGAAGGCAAAGTCTCCATGCTTGGATACAATAGTTGAAGTGGGGTACCAGAGTTTTATACCATTGAAGAACTTTCTTCTTTTATTGTCTGGGTTTTACACCAATGATGGTACAATAATATGTATATAATAGGTCTATATGGATATACTGTAGTGATATTTACCTTAACACATAAAAATAATTGAATATTGTTTCATGATTGCCTACTATGCAAATGTGGTTATTGTCACAAATGTTACAATGCCAATATGGTAATTGTCATGCTATAAAATTTAACTACAGTATAAGTACAGCTGTACTGTACATGACATGAATACCGATTATGCTCATATGGTTTTCACAACACTGTAATCATTTTAATGAAGTTTACCAGGTCAACAAATCATAATTTGATCATCATAATAAAGAAACTACGGTAGGCTAATTGGCTCATATGAGGAAGCTCCTATTTATATCGTGGATATAAAGAGGAACTGCCTTGTATGGGCCAATACTCCCATACATGAATGAGTTTGAAAGGATATACATATTCTCTCTTATATTCTCCCAAACTCATATATGAGCATGTTGGCCTATACGAGGCAGCTCCTATTTATATCCATGATACTTATAGCAGATGCTTCATATGGGATAATAGACTTGTTGCAGTTTGCTCAGTTCTTATTGACACATGCATACATATACTGTATTCATTCTTTTATTTATACATTCATGCAATACTCATTGATACATTGACTGATTTATTTAGTCATTCATACATAAATTCATACATGCATCCAAGGTAAACATTGGGTGCCTGGCTTGACAGTGTACAATGCTAATAGTAAACTCTAGCATTAATAGGTGGGGGCTGAGCTGCAACACTATCAATTTGTGCTTAGTTCTGTGTAACAGAACAGTTTACAATACAGTATACATATTCAGTTTAGTTCCACTTTTCCTTACAGTTTGTATCCAAATTAATAATTATATAAAGATTTTTTTTGTATAGGCAGATATGCATGTAAATCTTAAGCTGCACATTAACCCTTCCACTGCACATATATATGCAGTATATGATTTTGGCTTAACTGACTACACTGTGCAAATTATATATATATATAATATGATTTAGAATACAGTACTGCATAAGATTTAAAAGTCCCTCAGGTTTAAATTTAAAACAGACACCATTTTGACAAAAAAAAATGTGGACACCATTCCTGGGTGTGAAGACCTCAGTACTGAGTGAGCAACGAAGGCTGGTGCGTGCAGCATGAGCTAACAGCACCACTGTTTAGCTTGTGACCACAGCATCACTTATAATTTAGAGAATATACAAGTATCTGCTAGTATTTTGTGATGAAAATATCACAGAAGATCCCGACTGTAATATAAACTATGCACAAGATTCGTATATCAGTGAACACAATGCTAATTATGATGCTCACAGTGGGAGGCAGATGTTCAGAGCACACAGCCAAGGTTTCATGCAACTTTGCATCTTGAAATTACCTCATGCAATCACTGATGTCTCCCTGGATGCAACCCACGACAATTGTTTAACTCCTGAGGTGCCTATTTACTCCTAAGTGAATAGTTGAAAGAAAATATGCTTAACTGTCTGTACTGCTTAAGAATTCAAACCCAAGACCCTTAGTTTTGAGCTGACAATGTAGACCACTGTGCTATAGGACCTTCCTAAGACATAATGCTAATTGTCCATTAAATATATACCACCATATAGTATTCACATATTTAGGAATCATGTAGACAAACCTGTGCAATGTAGGTTGAGGCCCAGACCAGATTGATACAGGATGTTCCATCTATGCTCGTGGTGTTCCATCTTCCCAGTACTCTGTCACATAATGCTATAAAACTACTGACAGTTTTGGCTTCCACTATCTTCTCACTCGTTCCAACCATCTACCACTCTGTTTTCAAAAGTGAATTTTCTTATATTTCTTCAGCAACTTTGTTTAGCTAGCTAACAGTGTGTTGTTACACCTAGGTTCTGCATGCTGATGTCAGTGATTGTGTGCCTTGGTTCCCCGAGACCCTGGAATCTGTGCCCTGGCCCTATGCTCCCAGGCCTTTTGCTCTGGTTTCATTACCTTTGTGTCCTGGATTCCTGGAAAGATGGTTAGGGCTTCCATGCCATCACTGGGTTAATGGGCTGTTTGCCCAGCACTTTCAGGTTGTTTTTCCCGAGTTCTCAAGCTTTGTCCTGATCTCCTGGAGTGTTTATCCTGGGATCTCTAGACATTGTGTATCATGGCCTTTGGACTGCATGTTGTAGCCCTTTACGCTTTATTTCTCAGGGCCTTTGTGATTCTGATCCTGATTTTTGGTCAACTATGCAAGTCCAGGAGCTTGATAGTATGGAAGTCTCAGTGGTACAAGAGCCTTAAGCACTGGGGAGCTACTGAGGGCTGCCCAGAGAGGGGCATTTTATTACATTCAACACTATTATTTACTAGATCAAAGTGCACAGCTGCACTCTAGTGTGTGTGTGTCTCCACCCCCCCTCCCTCTCCATTTCTCTTCTAATCTGCCACTCTCTCATCTCTTCCCGCTCTCCCCCATTCCCCCTCTGCACCTCTCTCTCCACTCAATCTAACCCATATTCCCCCTCTCTCACATTTCTCACCCTCTACACCTTTCTCCCCCCACCCTCCCCGCCCTCTCTCTCTCTCAATCTTATCCCCTATCCTAATTTCCCTTCCTCGTCCCCTCCCTCTGCTGCCCTCTCCAACTTTCCCCCCACCTTCTCCTTCCTGTTATTCTTCCCTCTTCCCCAGCATCCCCCTTTTCCCCTCCCTTTCCTCACCTCTACACCTTCCCCCTCTCTGCAATCCAAGTAAATTAATGTTCATCCTTTAGGAATAAACCATGAAAGTATGGCGAGATTCAACATAAAAATCTGTGGGAAACACATGCCATATTTTGTTTCAGACTTCATGAAAATTGCAGGGGAGGGCCCCACTTAAGATGCCAATATTCTTAAAGCATGGCATTTGGGCCTA